AATAAATCGAATAAAACCTTACTTTAGAACTAATGTCTGTAGTGTATTTCTTTGAGCAGCATGGTGATAAATCATTTTCAAGCGTCTGTTCCATAGGCGTACATAATTGAGTCGGGTAAAAGTAATAAAAGTTTGGAACCTTTGGTGTAGTACTGGAGTTTTATCCCAACACCAAACCATTATTTTTAACATCTCGACACGTGTTTCGATCACCAAGTGATCATCTTCAAGTGGAAGATTAAACTGAATCTACATACGATGTTGTTTTTATTTATACCATAAATACCTCTGTTAGGTACCTGCGTTTTGATTGTCTTAAAGTGAGTTTACAATGTTCCCTTATCTACTAGTCAGGTAAATATAACCAAAACATTATTTCAGCAAGCTATATAGTATACAAATTGATGGATGTAGCCGTTACTACGTGGTAGGAAATAATAATGAAGAAAAGAGAAATGAAACTTGCATGACTTTGAAAATGTCTGTATAAGACAAAACTGCAGTAAAGTTAGTTACAAATAAAAGTGGTAAAAAAACATAGAAAGTTTCATTTCTCTTTTCTCCATTATATAGTATACTATTAGATATTGGTTCGCCATCGAAACGAGTGTGAGAAACATTTATCGAGTACTCATTTATTCACATTTATCTTCTTACTACATTGTTCTGTATTCTTCTTTCCTACGTGAATAGATATTATTATTATCATTATTATTATATCATTAAGTTAGAAAATGAAGGACAACTTTCATATCTTGACATTTTGGTAATGAGGAATCCGTGTGGAAAGCTAGAATACATTATATTTAGCAAGGAAACAAGCACCTACAGGTATATTCCTGACAGTTCACATCACTCTGGACAGCACAAAAGTGCTGGGTTGAATTTTCTAGTGCATCGTCTTTAGACGTTTTCTGTCACACATGAGAGGTTCACAAAAAAAAGTGACATTACAGAAAATAGCAGTCAGTAACGGTTTCTCGAGGGGTATTGTAGATGATATTAAGAGGAAGAAAAAGTTTATTATTTTTACGCTTTTAGATGAATAAATCATATTACCCTTCTCCTTAAGTAATACGAAAGCATAAATACAGTTGGTTCTAGTAGCAAACAAACTACTAATGCACTGGTAACAATATAAAAGTTTTAAGACACCTTTTACTACAAATCCCGCTATATAAATAATAACTTTCTAGCCGACTTCAGACACATTGGCGGTACATACTATTCTGTAACTTTTCATGGCTTTGAACGTAAACATACGTATATTTTTTTAGCTTACCTGTGAAATGTCTTACCGAGAAACAGAATACTGAACTATTTTGATTTCGAAAATCGAAAGTTGAATGCCTTCTCAATGCCTTCTCAATACTGAATCACGACACGCTTCGATTCATCCTACCATAAGTTCACCATACTTTAGTCGTCACACGGCGATTTGAGTGCTTATTCCCTTGGTTTCTATTTCCATGGAATTAAATAACTGTCATGCTTAAAAATAATTTTCGTAAAATTTTATTCTGAGTGGAAAAATAGTTTCACTTTCAATTACTACAAATCGAAGAAGCCTAGTTTTGATGATAATTGTGAAAAACAATTTTATATACCTACAAGTTCACCAGATTTATTTCCTATAACTCTGATAAATGTGAACAAAAATAGTGTTTTTAGGTTAATTTTATTTATACGACCGGTATCGTGTTATCAAGAATATACTTGATAATGGGGTTAAACCCGAAACACCGGTCGTATAAATAAAATCAACTAGTGGTAATTAGACAAAAGTGTTTTTATTCATTTCATTAGGAGGCCTGGTTGCAGTGAAAATTATGAAAAACATTTTTCCACCTCTGAAATTCAACCCATTTCTTCCCCGTACCTTGGATGGACTTCAACATTTTTCATGATGAACACACTAATTTCTTTTCTAGATAACTATTTACACACCTGGGCTGAAAAGTCCCGTGCCCAAGAAAGAACACGCGGTTTTTTTGTTCAAAATTCGCTTCTCAAGATAGTCAATGGTATTACACCACGCATATCCCAAAATACCGAGGTCATAACCTTTCCAGCCGATTGTTGTGCTTTTCGGCACTTTTAACGAGGTTCACCAGTTGCTCTTCACTCAGATGACGATCGTTTTGGTTCCGGAGTGAAATGATGGATCCAAGTTTTGTCCATTGTCACATATCGCCACAAAAATTTTAGTTTGATATATTTATACATGACCAAACAATGTTCAGAATCATCAAAACTTTCTTGTTGTTGGTCAACAATGAGCTCGCGCGGCACCCAGTTTAAACAGAGCTTTCTCATAGTCGAATGATCATGCAATATAAAGCCATTAGGTACGTTCTTTTGATATCTTCACATGTCAATTAACTCACGCAATTTCACTTTTCGATCATACAAAACCATTCGATGTCCACTGCGTACTGCATCATCGGTGTCTCTACGACCACATTTAAAGTCAGCAAACCAACGTTTAATTGCTGTTTCTGATGGAGTGGTGTCTTATAACACTTTTCAAGCCATTGCCTCTCTTGAACCGTATTTTTTTCCATCTCTGAAACATGGCTTACTCGATATACAACAACTGAGGATATCTGTTTTGATGGTTACCAAATTTTTCGTAAAGATAGAGGTGAAGAAGGGAAAGAGGGTGTTACAATTTTTATCAGGAAGATTTTCAGAGCTACTTCAATACAGAACATCCCCAATCAAACGAATGAACAAGTCTGGGTAACATTCACCATTAAAAAGAAAAGTTATGCTGTTGCTTCTATGTATAGACCTCCGAAGCTTCCTCTTCTAATATTCTTGCCTGTATTAGAGGACAGTTTATTCTCAATCTGTCCCAAATTTGAAAATATTATTTTAGCGGGGGATCTAAATGTGGATTATTCTGATTCTACTAATAGTCAGTGTGTTCAACTGGATCACATTCTAGATTCGTATTGTTTGAAAAAAGTAGTAGACCAACCCATACGGTACTCTTCGGTAGGTTATAAAATATTAGACGTTTTGATCTGCTCAGAATTATCAAATATATCCGACTGTACTACGATCGACTGTAGTTCATTTTCTGATCAATTTTTAGTATTTTGCAAGGTGGGCTCAATCAAAATAGCAGTTTCATTAGATCTACAGGCAGCGGATATTCGTTCTCTTCACCACATCGAAAATATCAATGACAAATTGGCTCTTTTCAGTGAGACATAAACCGATCTTTTTGGAAAACATTCTCCTATTGAAACTGTTGAAATTTCTAAGAAATTGAAATTGCCAAACCACTTACTGAACGTTGGAGATATCAAATTTTTCGGAAGTATATACAGCTGCAACTCTTCCGCTGATGATGAAATTATATATTTTTTTTCGGGTAATAATATAAACAATCGCAACATTTCCTATAAAGCTACTGATGACGAAGAAATCTATAAGTTTATTCTGAACATGAAGTCGAATGCTGTAGGACCTGATGAGATGAGCATCGACTAATTCCTATCCATCCATCTGTAAGCAAGCAAATGTTCTTCCGTTGGCCAAAAATTCTAACCCCGAAAGTTTAGGCAATCACCGGCCAATTAGCATCTTATGTGAGCTATCAATAGTTTTTGAAAAAATATTGAACTTGCAGATGCGTGATTATTTGAATGACTTCGATATATTACCTGAGTGTCAATCAGAGTTCAGACCTGACCACAGTTGTAGGACTGCCCTCCTAAAAGTTGCGGATGATGAGCACAGATCTATTGATAATAACAAACTCTGTCTTCTGATATTATTGGACTATTCTAAGGCGTTCGATCGCATACACCATGACCTCCTCTTTGCTATTTTGGGCTCCTAGGGTTTTCAATACATGCTATAGCACTACTAAAAAGTTACTTTCACAATCGTTTTCAAAGAGTTGTGTATAATAACGAAAAATCTGATTTAATACAAATTAAAAAAGGTGTTCCTCAATATTCAATATTGGGCCCCCTCTTGTTCGTTTTATATACATATCAATTGCATAGGTCATTGCAATTTGCAACCAAGCATTGTCATGCCGACGATACTCAGCTGTACATGGAATTCGACGAGAATTAACGAGGCCCTATGGCAAATAATTACCGATCTTGATATGTTATTTTCCGTGTCAACTGTATAAATATTGCCTATCTGTTAATGCATCTGAATCTGAAATCGTAGTTCTGGCCTCATCAATATTGTAATAGATGGAACAGAACTTCCCTTGGAAGTTGTTACAAAAATCTTAGGCCTATATCTTGACAACAGTTTTCGTTTAAAAACACACATTTCGCAAATTCTGGAACGGGGTTAGGCAAATTTCATTCCAACAGAGCATTTCTGAATAAAAAAAGTAAAATTATACTCTGCAATGCTTTAGTTCTTTCACATTCCAATTACGCAGACGTGGCGTACGGTCCGGGAATTTTGAAGAGTAAGGTTCATTACGGGTACGAGGAAACGAGAACACATTTCCCGTCTGTTTGGGGATGTGGATTGGTTGAATATGGAATCTAGAGGGAACATTTCATTCTGCAACATTTTTTCAAAAACTCCTCAAATAAACTCTCTTATCTTTTCGATAAAATATCCGTTAGAACTGACGTACACCATCTTAACTTGACATTCAGGACACATTTAACAATACCACAACATAAAACTTCTCTATTTAGCTGATATCACCATTAGCGGGCCTAGCGCCATCTATGTGCTAGGTCCGAGACTTTTCAGCCCATTTAGTGAAAGCTAATAACTTTTACCTCATTTAAAATTATTTGCATTATGCTATAGGCAGACTTCATTAGCCAACCTAAATGATGATGATGAAAAGTATGAACTTCAACTTTAATTTCAAATTGAAAGGGTTATATTTTTAGCACAGGTTGACTTTGTTTTCCATTCAGTTTTAATGATAAACGGAAGCCCATTGTATTGCTGCTATAAATACATAAATTAGTTGGTTAGGGTAGATAAATCAAAATCAGTTTAATGTTCATATGAATATTATTTTTATTCTTAAATTATACGACATATACACAAGACACTTGACATTTGCTACTTTCAATATTTTGTTTGAGTAGTACCAACACGAACAATTTGAAACTAAAGTACAACATAAATAATAAATATTCTCTTTTCTTCCTCAATATCATTGGCACTACTCAACGTGAACATAAAAGCGTTTATACAGAATCTTCAGAAATAAACAAACTATTTACACAAAATGGTAGATACACCACAGAAATTGCAACTTTTTGTAAATCAAGTGAGCTTGACTGTATTTTTCTCAATAATCTTTTAATGATCATTGGGATGTAAAATTTTCGGAATAAATTACCAATTAAACTCATGTAAAGTTATAATATACAGTGAATGATAATATACAATTTACATATCTTTGTAACACAAGAACAGTTATGTACACTCTTAAGTTTACAAGCATTATTTACAAATTTAAAATACCCAAAAAAGGAACAAAGTATAGGTTCGTACGTTCAAAGAGTACAGTCTATAAAATCACTCTAATGGCACTAAAAATTATAAAATACCAGCTACTGTTTATAAGCTATGAGTTTTCATTGAGAGAAATATACACCGCTTTATGGAATAATATTGTAATACAAATTCCCCAAGAATGTAGGAGTTGTGTGACTTGCAAGATAAACTGAACGAAATTACGTTGGTTGATTAAAGAGTTTCAAAACTATAAAATCTATTCTTTGTCTTCATTTTCATTTTAAATTGGAAAATGAATTGTTATGATTTTTCCAATAAGCGATTTGTATATGCATCTCTTCCATACCATACAACGTGAAGAATGTGGTATAACTTTTAGTGCCTGGAACTAAAAATAGGAGCACCAATAAAAATCAATCAAAAATAACTGCGGTATTCAATAAGTCATTGATTCAAATACACATATTTTGTTTTTGTACTTGATGAGTTTAGGAAAAAGCAGTTCGACTCGGTATTACACTAACTTGTGGAAATTATATATTCAAATCCTTTAGAGCAATATATAACTCCTCAAATTTATATTTTACAAATTTCCATTCGATTAGGGAACATGATTAATGAGCTTCATATTTATTGCAAAAACACCCCGTATACAAAGTCTTCGCTAATTCCGAAGTGATTCATCAGAAAAAATGTTTCGAATTGGCGAAAACCCTGAAGTTTACCGACTCTCAACATAACAGAAATACCCTGGTAACAGCGTTACATCTCCTCACGGGTCTATCACAGGTCCACTATGTCAGTCACCGTATGTTGCATCAGGAATGGAAATACTGCGCGATAGAAATTTCCAAACTCGATAATTGATTTGGAATATTAACAGGTCGCCATGGAATATTTTAAATAATCATCCTAGGTAAAAATAGGACCTTTTTTAGCTAATTGTCAATTTCCATTGTCTAATTTCATGGCAATCCGTTCAACTTCGGTAACACAGAATTTCTTCGAAGGATCAACTTTGGAAAGCCTTTTTTTCTTAAGAAATCTAATTAATTGAGAGTCGTCGAATTAATATATAAAGTACGGTTGAACAAAACAGTATGGCTCCTTAAGATCACTATTTATCACTCAAACTCTCGCTCTGTTTCACGTCGAGACCATTCACCATTTTTTCTATACTCTTCAGATCACTTGGCGAGCTCGCGGATTCCGGTTTTGGTGAACTCGTATTTGGTCTCATCGGCGGGGAGAGCGAATTTGCCCTCATTTTTCCCGAGGGGGAATTACTGAGGCTTCTTGTGTGAGAGCTGGGTGTGACGGTTTCGAATGCACTGCCCAGAGGTGACGAACTTACTCCCGTCGTGGAGTTGGGGAGGGTGTAGGGAGTGAAACGATGCCCCCCTTTGAGGTGACCGTGCAGAGGAGAAGTAGGCGACAAGTGGTGTCCGTGAGGATTTGGATGAGCTAGGTTTTGGTAATGGGAGAATAGTGCGGGATGCTGAGCTGCAAGCGCTAGCTGCGCGTTGAAGAGCAAACTGGGATTCATTCCAGGGTTATGCGCACCAGTGAAGAGACTCAGAGGAGGGCCAAAAGGTGAGTGCCCCGCTGCACCTGGATACATGCCATGTGGGTAAAGGTAGGGAAGTAAATGCGGCGGCGGGTGAATAGGAGGACCAACACTTATGTTAGGGGAGGGGTATTCGCCAGAAGGATTTGAAGGACCGGCGGAAGGATCTTTGGGAGAAGAAGGACGTGGTCGGAAGGCGGTACTGCCAGGAGACTCCGAGCAGCTGCTCTCGGAACCAGAGTCGTCATGGAGCCGTCTGCGAATCGAGTCATCTTCCGCTCCTGAAAAAAAAAAACCGATGAGTCTACTCTGTTAATACACAGCATTAATTAGTTATCAGTAAATCATTCAGAAATGTTTTTCGTAATCGACGATAAAAAGTCGTTCGATACTGTGCAATCAATATAGCACAATCTTTATGTAATAGCTACCTGAATGGTTCATAGAGGATGCCACAGGAGTAGATGAATGCAGGGACGGTCTCGGACTATCCGCTGTTCCGACCACGTCTAATTCAGAATCGTCGGTTTTGGAGACGGTGCTGCTATCAGCTGACATTCGAGCTGGTAACGGATGTGAAGTCTTGTCGTCAGAATGCCTTTGAGCCAGCATAGCCTGCCTGTAACAATAGATAGAATAAAATTATTAGATATTAGTTCCGAAACTCAAAATAATAGCAGTGCAATTTCGAAATAAAAAAATAATAAATCACTTCCGCTTGCGCTTGCCTAAATATGACATTTACTACTGATGGGAAACTAGGTATTTCTGATTTTGAATCTGATAATCAGTTTGTTGCCATTGTGTCACTTTCTATATGGTTTACATTTGAGAGTTTCCACCTTAATAATTCAGATATTGTTCTATTCTCAATTCATTGTCGATGCTCTAAAAGTTTTGAATTATTCACACTATATTATCGGTATTCTTCTTGCAAAATTTCACTGGTCTTGACTCACCGACGTGACTGCACCAAAACAAATTATGTTATATTTTATCCTTATAGTTCCATCATGATATCTTTTATTTACTTTCTTTGAAGAAAATTCTCAAGTATACATTTTCAACCAGACAGTTTTGCGATACTGGAGTTACTACACCAAAGACTCCAAACAGTGCATCCACAAGTATTTACGATATTGTTATCATGTAGTTTCTAGAAATGTTCTGTTCATGTCTATTAACCAAATAAAATATTCACAATTATCACAATTCATATTCTTCATTTACAACTTGTTTTCACACGTTAGAACAACAAAAAGTAGCTGATGAGAACTATCAGTAATATACTATCAGCTAATAATTTTTAACACTTTTGAGAAAACAACCTTCAAAAACTCAGCATTTTTTGTCTGTGATCCCACAGATCCAGTTTTTCTTCTCAAGTAAAGCTTTCCATCAGCTCCTCCAACTCTAAAGCCAATTTGCGGCATCCGAAACAACAGAATTAAATACAACCCCTACGAAAACTAAACAGTTGTTACAGTAATGTATGCATATCACTTACTGTAAATGCAAATTTGATACACCCACCCGGCCAAGAATCACCCTTTTTGACCTTCTGCAAATGCCACTGCTAATTTGATACTGTTAAGCCGTATTGTCACCCTCTGTGTCTTTATTTTGCGGCCGCCTTTTAATTTAAACTTTTCGGAGAAATAAGAACGTGACAGAGGAATATTTTATCTCGCTGAACGGATAAAAATGCAAAGCGATGCTAGTATGGCCAGTGACGGAGATAAATGGAATGAGAAATACCTACTAGTTTTTTTTTTGGTGGTTTAGTAATGTTATTGAAATGTTGATTATGATAGTGGCACTTGGGTTAGGACAGGTCAGTAAAGAAAGTGACTTAGTAATGAATTTACTTTGCATATTGTTACATTAGGGTAAGTTTCATCCATAATCAGAAAAAGTGGTGTAAAGCACCTGTATTAGACACTGAAATGAGCCAGAACAATTCGTACATGAATTGTTACTATCTAATTTATAAAAGCAGTTGATATTATTATTACTATCTGTCTGAATGCGAAAACTACAGAACGGTTTTCACTAATGAGCGGAATCATTCAAGAGGAAGATTTATATATATGATTCATTGATAGACATGCAAAAGAAGAGTTCGATTACTTTCCATCATTGGCCATAACAAAAAATGACTAGACTACAATTTCTTCTCCATAGGCTGGCCAGGTTTCCTTTAAGCAAAAGAAGATATGATATCAAGAAAAAAGTTGTCAAATAGAAAGTAACGGGTATCCTTCAAACATAGTGGATAAGTTGATTAGGAAGAGAAATTTGAATCCACGAGTTTCCAGAAAGACTAATACTCAAAATTGAATATGGAAGTGGCTTTCGAAACTGCTACACCTTTCAACAAGTGTGGGGCAGTCCGAAAGGCGATGGAAAAAAAATATCTGGGATATAGTTAGGCCCAAACAAACAATCAGGACAAGTTAAATACAACCGATTGATTCATGAAAACACACGCCATCCATTATTATACATAGCACTCTTATTTTCTTTTGTGACTTAGGTGCAATTCGAAATTATTATGACGCTGATTCCTAAATGGAAAAAATTACATCGAATGCGGATAAATAGATGCTCTTCTGGAATATTTTTCTGATCAAAATGTGAGCTTGTACTAACCCTCTGTCGATTGATTACAGAGGTCGTAATAAGTTTTTCACTAGCGCTCTTCTTTGTTTACATGGAATAGGCAGTGGCGTTGAGAAATTTCATGTTGCATCTAGATTTCGTTGCATCAATACAAAATAGAAATGATCTTCAAAGTCAGTACGCTTTCTAAACAATAACGAAAGGATTGAATTTTATGGAAAAAGTTTTTCAATAGATACATCATTTCAGCAAATACTATTGACCAAAATGTTATCACCTTTGAAGACAAGTGAATTGTACAATCATAAAAAAAAGGATGTTTGTTGGTTGGTTGGTGAATGATAAACCTCTACATCGCTCAACCGATCGTGATGAAACTTGACATATATAAGTAATGTTTCATAGAGAAGGTTTTTTGGGCTATCAATTTTTTTGTAACTAGCCACTAGATGGCGCTGTAAAACAATTTTTTGAAAGCACTGTTCTATAACGCTACGCACACCTAAGTTGGTTGATTCTGATTCTGTCAAAACATTGGAACAGCAGCGATACAGCATCATAGTACTAGTTGTATAATAAAGAATGCTAATTATTATCCTGAAATTACTTTGAACTGACAGTTATGACCTCATGTTCTGTCCCAAATGAGATGTTTCACAGCAATTACGACATTCTGAAATGAGTTAGTTTCTATAAAAATATCAAATAATGTAATGGGACATGAATACTCAGATAAAGTACTTCGACATCAGTCCGTCTACTCGAAATTTATTACTAGAGTTGCTGAAAATAACAAGTACCTATATGTTTTGAACAATTATGAATTTCGCGTTGGAGTCTCCATTTGGTATGGCACTCCTAATCGAAGTAGTTATTGAAAATGGTGACTGTGACTGCTCATAATTGTAATTGCAAAGTATTACATAGCACTTGATTTTATCAGTAATTTTTTTAAACGCTCTAGCATTGAGTACGTGTTTGTGAATTTGAAATAGATTGAACAAATGTGTTCAAATATTCGGCGAATGCATGCTGCATCATTTTCATTAGAGTTATTCGATATCGAAATAATTGCAAAAAGTGGCATCTAAAAAATGTAAACTCATTAATATTGGTTACAAAAAAGACGTAAAAAGGCGTATGCTATGCCAGCAGAAAAAGTTGCTATCGAATAAAATGTCTGAAATGTTGGCCAAAAATATGTATGGTCCGTTTCAAGATATTTTTTGTCCTGGTCACTTGAAGGGTTGGCTTCAGTAAATGCAGTGTTCATGTACGCGTAAAGACGTGAAAATAGATTTAAGAATTTGACAATAAACTCCATCCTCGATATGAAATACTCTCTGCAGCTTCAGGGTATACTTAGGGGCGGAGCTCCATACATGAGAACAATACTCTAAAGATGATCTGATCTGAGCTTTATAAAGAATCAGAAGTTGCTAAGATGTGTACGTTTTTCAAGTTCGGAACAGTGTTTCAAGCTTTCGAGAAGCATCCTTTGCAGCCAGACATTATTGTATCCGGTTCGAAGACATTTATCTTTTTGGAGAAAACCTATTTCCGGGTTTTTGTGGCATTGAATTGAACCTGATTAGTTTCACCCCAATTCGAAATCACGCAACATTCTGCTGCCGATGGAGATGTGCATCCGCAGTCGATATCCTGGAACCCAAATGGAATGATGAGATAGGTGTGCTGTCGTCAGCAAGGCAATATATTGGATTCTTCGTTTTTTCCAATAAGATCCAGGTGATACACTGGTCTTGTATCTACTTTTGTAATCTGAATATCTATAAAAATTGTAGTATTTCTACAAAATATTGTGGTTTCAGAAGTTAAAATGATGTGATGTATTGTACTAGAAAGGGCAGCATATAAATCTTTTCGAAATTATACTAACATAATAAATGTAGCAACAATCTTATTTTGAGGTGGAATCTGGCCATGGCTCCAAAATGTTTATCTCTTCATATTTTTTTCCGATGTTACTTAGCATTTTGTATTGGACGCCTCTGATCACCTCAGCTCCTAGATCTGGGCAATTGATACACACGGAGAGAAACTAAGCGTGGGGTGCACAATTTCGCAGACGAAGGGTCGAACAAAGGGTGGCGATCCTGGAGAATTATAACGGGGTTAATTGACCGACTACTACGATAATGACAGTTGGTAACCTTTTCAAGTATCGCAGACCAAATAGCGCTGCATGCCGTGGCACTGACTCATAAACCATCGTAGATTTATTGCTCGGAATTAGGAAATTATTAATTAAAGAAACGTGGGGTGCTACATTTCATGAATCTCTATATGCACATGCATAGAAGTAGTAATTTCTTTATCAGTGGAGAATTGAAAAAAATCAAGAATAAGTGTATTTGGTGAAGTTGTGAATAAATAAATAATAATAATAATAATGTGTCTTTATTCTGATCAATCAATGTAAATGGAATTTCATATTCAATTTATTCTTACTCCTTGCATTGAGAACTTTTCATTTTTGAATTTTAACATTCTAACGTTGAATCACTCCTCTTTGAAAACGAGATGTCTAAGACTGTGACAAGTAACAAAATCAGACGTTTTTCCGTTTTTGATCGGAAAAATACATTATATCTATGTATCTATCCTTGAATTTCACATCAAAAATGATCTTCAATGTCACGTTTCATGGGCAATGTCAAAGTAAACTATTTGTTAATAAATGTGATCTGACATCAGATTATGGAAAATTTATCCTCCAATATCAGTAAAAGAACGTTTTGAAGTAGGCATTCTTAACTCGATCTAAATGTTTTAATCATTTAATACTGAGTTATCCAAATGAAATAACTTTTAGTTTTTTTCCATGTCTGATTGACATGGAATATTATAGTAATATAGATGGTTATGATGAAAGCCTAATATTTATTTAACAAAAAAGTACTCTGCATTGTCTCATATTCGAGAGTACGTTTCTATTTCTAGTATTGTGTTGGGTAATAACGAAAAATAATATTTTCCGAAAGAAACATAACACATTTTTTCATAGATGCGTGATCATGGTGTATTTTTTTAATAAAAATATTTTGCTAGAATATGCTTCTCAGATAGTTTTCAATAAAAGTGATTTATTGATATCGGTGCACATTTCATAGATAATTTTGCCATAAATCAATGGACTTTGTCATGTTAAAGTTGATACTTACTTTTTCTCCCTCTTTCCTGCTCCAGTATCCCTGAACCCCTTCGCAAATGGATTGTTGTCAATTTTTAATTGGGTGATCTGAAACAAAAATAAGATATATTAAGAGGTATTTCAAATGACAATGTTAGACAAAAAGGTGAATGTTCAAGTTGATTCTGCATTTGTAAGAGAACAGATCCAATTGAAGGCAAAGATACTACCGGAAAAGTGAATAACTAAGCTGCAGAGATAGTTTTGAAAATTAACTTTGGTTCGACCAAATTATCCCAAGACCAAATCCAGGTAATAAATAATGGTTTTTGAATGGTGATCTTAAGCCATTTATACTATGCTTACGACTCGCCCTGTTTTCGTTCCTGCTTCGCCCAGAAATGAAGTTTACACATGAATATTCCTTTTTAATCACACCGTCCATTGGTAAAAACCGTGTGAAAATCAATTCTTCAGTGAAAATCAGAAATGGAACACTGCTGAAATCCAGGTTGAGAAGAGTGTTTGGGAACAGTGCTTGTTTTGGAATCATTTGGTAGAGTTTATCGCGTTTAAAGAAGTCTTGTTGAGACATTTTGAACATAAATAGAATTATGTAGCATATACCTTCCTCATATTATATATTTCACATCAAAGTTTCTACAGAATTTGTGTACAACGGAACTCATCTGTTCCTTTAAGATGCATGATAAACGATAAACATTGGTTGTAATCTTCTTTGAAGAGATATACATTACAAGTTTATTCATCTATCTTACTCTTTCTATTAATATCTGTTTTGGTTTTACAGTGTACCTCTAATTTCTTATTACTATCAAACTGAGTGAATTCTATAAAAAAAAAACTAGAAAGGATTAGAAATGTTGCAACTTTTAAAAAATAATTTGCTTCCTAACATAATCAATTTCTCTGTCTATAATAATGCCCTGATTTTGACCAATTTCTGTTCAAGAGGTAAAGATGGAAAAAGAGTTGAGACAGTCATGCATTCGTAATATTCAAATTCTTGGTTCGATCTTCTTTATTTGTAAACATTAAAGTTCTGATTACCCCATTTGTTAAAGGCTATTTAACGAAGAAGCATTACCAAATGTAAAAATCGCCGGGAAAAAAATTCAAGAAATGCTGTCCCAACCAAAGAATGGAAAGTTCGTAAAATTGGCCTCCCAGCAAGCGGCCATCTATTCGGCAGCTATTATTAATTCTTCTAGGAATCAAATCGAGATTTGTCAAGGCAAAGACGCCGCGATATGGTGAGAGATTCCTTGTTATAATTAGGAGAGGCCTAAATTGAAATAAAAGAGAATATTCCTGGAATTCAGCATTCTATTCGTTGACATGAGACGACTTTTTTGGAGTTTCTTGTAATTTTATTTGCCACTTAGTGTATCTGATGATCGGTATGGTGACACTGTCCTTGATGTGTCACATTCTAAACTCTAATCATTACTGAGATTCAATAACCAATCTGATTCTGATGTATGCAACAGAAAAAAATCAAAATATTGCTGGATGAAAATAAAAGTTGATAATATCACTTTATTTTTTTGTTATCCATTCAGAAATAAAAAACATTTTCAATTCCCAAGCCCACTGTTTCGCGAACGAAGTGCATAATCCTTTTATAAACTGTCGCCCGTTTGGCAAAGCAGAGAATATTAAGTCATCATATTACAACATATCATACAAAAATTAACTATCATCACAATTGGGGTGATATAACCATGACAAAAATCCAAAACAAGTAGTGTTGTCAAATACCAGAACGAAAATACTTTTCTCGATGCGCTTTTCACCAACTCGTTTGGCGTCTGTAGAAAATGAAATGAACATGATCAATAACATTTATAGTTTACTTCATCCCCTGAAAACGCCAACTTCTTTGGTGGAACGAACGTCGAAAAGAGTATTGCAGTTCTGGTGTTTGGAAACAGTGCTTGTTTTGAATTTGAATTTCGCCATAGTTGAAGTTAATTTGGAGTTGTGAAAAGTTGTCGTTTCTTGTTTGGATGTGTGGCGGAAATTTTCATCATTCATTCGAAATGTGGACAGAAATCCAGTATTTGGCAAAGAAAATATAGGCAAACTCCTTTCCGGAAATCGGGTCGCAAATGTATCACGTGTCCTTGAAAAAACTTTATCACATTCTCCGTAAATACCAAATACATTCAAATAATCTTCGTGTGTGATTTAATTGCCCCGGTATGATTTATTATTGACAATTTGCAAATGAGATATCGAGTTGATGAAACATATAAGCAGGAAGTGGACAAGAAAGGAAGTAAAATTAATCCAACTAGTTGAAGCTGCCATCAGTATTTTGTGTTCAACGAACTTGTTGAAAACGAAGAAACCATTAGACAGTGAAATAGTTACAGCCATAGAAAAAGCAAATCTACAAGCTGAAACATTTGCGTTATACTTCACAGTCGATTTTCTGGGAGATGCATCACACCAGAATCCACAATGCCGGAAATTACTTTTCGACAACGTCTAGTCAGGCGAATTTTGAAACTGCTCAATATCAACAATGCGTCTGGTACTGAAGTCCCGTCATCGTACTTAAAAACAGCGCAAATGAATTCGCACCAGTATTTTGCAGACTTTTCAACCTATTTTTCAAGGAAGAGGTTTTACTTCTTGTTGGAAGATTGCTCGTATTCAGCCTATTCCGAAAAATAGCAAGAAAAATCTTCCAAATAACTATAGACCAGTAGCTTTGTTATCAATGATATCAAAAATCATGGGGAAAGCCAAAAACCACCATATCTTCAAATATTTGGAGGGCTTCAACATATTGAGCCATCATCAATATGGCTTTCGGAAACAAAGATCAACAGGCGACCTTCTATCGTATGTCACCCATATTTGGAATAACGCAATCAAGAAACGTCCTTTGACCGTGTGGGGCATGAGGATTTGCTGGCCAAACTTCGACGTTATGGCTTGTCGGATAATATTTGTGTATCGCTCTTCAGCTTCCTTATAGAACGTTCCCTGCAAATGGCCGTCGATGGATGTCTCCGAATACTTTTATCATCAACGCTAATATTCTCCAGAAATACATATTGTCTCCAACCCCTCTCTTTATTGTATATAAACAACTTATTCGAAAAAAACCAAGAATCCACTATACCTACTGCTTTGCTGACGAAAACACAGTTGTCTCGTCGTTCCATCTGGATTCCAGGACGTCGAATGTTGATGCACATCTTCACCGTCAGCAGGAGGTTGCATATATTAATGATGATCTAGAAGTTATTTCGAATTCGGATGAAACTAACCAGGTTCAAATCAATGCCACAAAAACCCAGGCATCGGTTTTCTCCAAAAAGATAAATGTCCACGAACCGGATATTATAATGTCAGGACAGACAATTCCGCTTTCTGCGGCGATAAGTTTGTTGAGGGTTAAAATGGACATCAATATGTCGTGGCACAATCATGTCGCTGGAATTTCAAAGGCTGCTTCTCAAAAGATTGGAACACTGTTCCAAACCAGCCTGATTGGAGACGCGAAAATCTACTCACCAGATATCATGCGTAAGGCATATGTTTACAACATGAAAGCGAGACTAATAGGAATTTCACTCATTTCGATTAGTCTCGCAAAACACCTGAAAACAACTTGTTCAAAACTATTATCAAGGATATCGTGATAATGAATAACGTGAAACTGAATAATACAAAACTTCCAAACAAAATTCAACTTCTTTTTATTTTGCTCACAAACGAAAAATGTCACTTGGGAAATGAGACAAATTTCGCTCTCCGATCATTCTACATTTTTAGATACGGTCAATCAGAAGTCGAATAATCGAGTGTTTCAGGAACTCACTAAAACTTTTTTGAAATGACGATTTTTTTTTCACGATCGCTTGGTGTAGATCGTTATTCACTTGCCACATTCATTTTTTCCGTACCAAAGGTTGAATTTCCTCGAAACTATAATTGAGTGCCTCAGTAAGAGGAGGAGCATGCTACAAAATCAACTTTTTGAGAAAATGAAGGTTTTATTAGAATGAGTCAAACATATACTAAATGTTTANAAATAAAGGTTTTATTAGAGTGAGTCAAACATACACTAAATTTTTATTAATTTTGAAAATTATAAGAGTATGGCACACTTCCAAGTATTTCGTATTATGGTCCATAGGTAGCAGCACGATCCGGAAATATTAAAACAAAAAAAGAACAATTCGTGTGATATATCCCCTTCTCTTACTCATATACTAAATTGTTTGTGAAACTTATTGACACTTTTATAAGGGTTTTTTGTTGGTTCTGTTGGCAGTGAACAAAATTTAACTAGAAACTAACGCTTATTTTAAAGATGTGTCCTTTACACTGTAATTAGTCACTAGTCTTTTAGTATTTTCACTGTTTTTCCTACATAGCATAGCATAGACCATGTGTGCCCTTCTACTCTCTTCTGTAACTGGGTATTTTGTCAGGACACCAGAGGACAATCTTGAAACAAAATGCCTTTTTCTCGAAACATTGTAAACAACGTCAATTATTTTAGCGTTACTTTGAGTAAGTAGCAGGAATGATCTTCCTTCGAAGCCTATCACAGATGAGCAAATTCATAAAAAAACTCATTATTACAGTTTATTGTATGATTTTCACTATAAATCATACAATTGGCAAATTCATAACTTTACGGTCGTCTTTAAATGATACTATAAATATACTATTTCTTACTAGAACTTGAAAAACCAATTGTTTTATGAATGAATATATTTTTTCCATGTTTTTGTTTATATTTTGAATTTTATTCAGGACTTTATCATCAAATTGAAAAGCTTTTGCTCAAAATCACGATTTCTTCTTCATTTTATTCAACTGATTTGGATAGTTATAAGCCTCAACACACTTCAGAACTTGTACAATTAGAAACGAATTCAGTTTTACTTTTCATATAGAATGCTAAAATTTGAAATAAAATCAGTTCTTTGCGATTAATTTTCAAATAACATTAAAAAGTTCTCATGATGTAATGATTTTCATTATTTGCCGGATCAACCGAAAATCATAACAGTATAAACTAGTAATTGATGCTCATGAACATGTGAACGATGACCATAATAATTCACAATATTATTCGCTTTCGATTTAATTCATAAAACACTTATATAGCTTTATTAAATTTGATAAATGTTTTTGTGCAGAGAGATATTGGTACAAAAATGATGTCGACAAACTATAATTTTATAATAATTGTCGAGTTTGTGTAAATTATGGAAGCTGTTATCGCTATATAAGCAAAAACAAGCTCATTAGTACTTGAATGTTACAACAAATCCTAAAACAGCAGCTGCCCGAACAAATTACTGTTATTTATGGAATGAAATTATTGGAGATAGCATTAGTAGCAGTTATTTTTGAAGGCGTGTCCAACAAATTGTTGATAATTGTGACAATCTATTGAGAGTACGAAAACGCTCTTTCAACACAGGTATACTCAAATCGAAAGTTACCCCAAGAGCGCTACTTGATATAATTATGATGACACGAGCACTTTTTATATTCCTATTTTAGAGAAAGGCTGAGAAATGCTTGGGGCGTGACTTGGGTACTTCCACCTACTCTCTCAGTATGTTTTCGACAACCCAAATCTTCAAGACAATTTAATAATTTGAAACTATAGACTATTCGAAATATCTCTTATTGGACATATTTCTCCAGACAACAAACTTGGAAACTTCCACCTTCGATAACATCACCGATACTTTCAGACGGTGTTATTATAATAAATAACGAAAACATTGTAACTGAAATTGAACAAATTACTGAAAAAATCCTCTTAGATGGATGGAAAATAGGTACCACTATTTGGTTTGCTTCACTCACTCAATCGACCGCTGTGTGAACATGTGGTTCAAGCCGCGAGGCCGGACGAACGATTTTAAATTCCCATCGTCTAACCCGTGTTAGAAATCACACGTTAAAAGGTACGACCTCGTTAGTCCTTAGCTCGCACAAGTTTCGACTTTCGAGAGTTGTCGTTCGTAGGAGGCGACAGCTGGTTAACGAAAAAACAGATTTTAAACAGATTTTTTTCAACTTCAATATGATCTGTATCACGAGAATACCATTGTTTGTCAACTTCTTGCTTCAGGTAACCTCACAAGAAAAAATAAGGCAGAGTGAAATCCGGAGACCGAGACGGCTAATATTTCCGTAAGATATTTTTCAACTTTCCTTGTTGAATGAGGGACATCATCATACTGGTTCCACAAATTATGCATTACGCTTATTACGCTATACAAAGAACCTACCTGCATATTTCTGGATTCTTAGTTTAGTGGCTTCGGCTGTACGTTAATATAAAAGCGGGCAACAGCTAGTGATTTATATTTTCACTATAAAAATACAGTTACTGAAAAATATGCCAACGGTACTAAGTAATGAATAGCTTCGAGAATCGAATTATGTTACCTATAAAGAAATTAATAAAACTAACACAACCGTCAGCGACGTCTGCCCTCACGCGTCTGCCGTGTTCGGGTCGTGTTCTCGGTGATGGCGCTTCATTGCTTAGACCGCCCCTCCACCCCTGCACATCCTCCCCCGTCGTCTTACAGTAAACGCGACGCATAATGGCTCACTACGTGATAACTTTCAAACAATTGTATCAATTTTTATAAGAATTCGACAGATATTCTAAAATGTACATTGTGAAAAAGTATCCAATTCAATTGTATTCATGGCTATATATTTATTCTATCGCGAACTTCAATTTAGAACTATTTAAGATATACAGTCTTACGGTACATTATCTGCATGTAACTCCAACGGTATGGGCAGCGCACGCCAAGATAGCTCTCAGGGTGCAAGAATTTTTTCGACTTACTTAATACTTATTATGACCGAAATTACACAAAACCTCAGTAAATTTTAGCATATGTAAAGTTTCATCTAAATCCGTTCAGTCGTTAAGGCGTGAAAGAGCCACAAACATACACACATACATACATACATCCTCACAAACTTTCACATTTATTTTAGTATACATAAAAAAATGTTAAGATTGAAATATGTTTTTTCCGTTAACCAGCTATCGCACCCCTACGAACGACAACCCTCAGAAGTCTAAACTTGTGCGAGCTAAGGACTAACGAGGTCTTACACTTTAACGTGTGATTCCTAACAAGATAAACAATTAATTATTCAAGAGTTTTACAAAGAAATAACAAATGTAGTCACGAAAGGTGATTTATTCATCACTGGAAAGATTGCATGTTACGCTTTTTCTAACAGTTTTGAGGTTAGATTCTATAATGTAATCGATAGTTACTTCATTCTTAGGCAAATGTGAAAAGACTGTAACCATTGCAGAGTATAACCAACTTACGTTGAGGTCCTCAGAAAGGTATTTTTGATAGATTTATGTGTTTTAGTTAAACAAGTGATACAGAGGTTAATTTTCCTAGGTATTAGAAAGATACACTCCTTTCTTGATCTTTGATCTTTCGAGAGTACAAAATTATGTACCAAATGATTCTCCACTTATACTTCAAACTGCTGCTGTTAGAGAAAAACCTTACAAAAACTTACTCGAGACTTGAACTTATGATTACATAACGTTTCCCAATATCCTTCAGCTCATATATTACCAATAAAAAGTATTGAACTAATAATTCCTATCAGAATTGTTTTCATTTACAAAACAGGGCTCTGTGACAGTTCGTTTATTTGAATCTGCAGGACTGAAAGCGTAACGCTAGGAGGCTGAATGTTACTATTTAGTTGACAACATTGAATATCAGATCTCAGAGTCATAGTTGAAAGTAGATGTTTTGCTTGAAGAAGACTGAAAATTCATCCAAATGTACCAACTGACCGAATGTGTTTTCAGAAATAAATGGAATTGACAATTTGAATCTCGGTGATAAATCCAAGTAAATTATGTTAGACTATTTGCAAATGAAGATGTAAGTACGTATTCAGTCCATTGTGTTGTTATTCGTACATATAATCCAGGATTTTTAACGACTTCTAAGAGTGAACATTTTACCATCTGAAAATTTCACAAGAATTAACATTTTTCTTTTAACAAACACATAAATTATCAGAGATGATAAATTTCGAAAATGTGATGAAATATATTTTGAAATATCGATAACCTAGATACCAAAATGAATATTTGAAGTACTGGTCTGTATATATATAGATGAAATTGCTATCAACATTCAAGAGGCTTTGTGACCTGTTGTATCTCAATCCAAAATATCATTTCAGTATATCTCTGAAAATACTTCAAATAGGTGGCAGTTTTTTAATAGATTAGTCTGCAAAGATGGCTACTCCAAACATCAACCGTGAAGTCAATAATGCAATCTTACATACTTGTTGTTGAAAGTATTAATACTCGCATGTAACAGCAAAAACTATTATCGTTGGTAATATACACTCATAACTCATATTAATATAGGTACGAGATAAAATATTATTCTGCAATAGATAAATTGAAAGTAACATTAAGAATAATAAGTTGTTTCTGTGAATGTGTGACACGACAAGTGCGAACGTCTATACGGTGCGCTAAAATAATTAATCTTGATGTGGAGCCGTAATCAACTGTAATTATTAACTTTTACAGAAATAAACTGCAATTATTATTATATAGATCGTATAGTAATGTTAGTGTTTATTTAAAGATTATTACCCGTCACACCTTATGAACAAGTTTTCAAAAGCAGTTTTACAGGAGACATTTTTCACGTCGAGAGCAACAAACATAAGCATTGGTTAAATTGTGAACGACCAGTTAGTCACTGATAATATAATTATTACAACTTCTTATATAGTTCCAGATACGTTATTTTCAAATTGAAACTCACATCGAACATCTGATATGTTCATTGGGAAGTAGAATAGAATGAAAAAAAAAACAGAAAAATATATAGATGTGCAATTACAGGGGCGCTCATCAGAAACATCATCCAAAAACGTTTCATTAGACAAAAACATACTCTTATTATCGTGTATCCATCTTAACAAAATATTGCTAATACGAAATGAGACAGAGACAATCACAATGAATACAAAGAATAGCCATTTTAGGCGGAAAGAAAATATTGTAACTCATTACCACAGAACATTCTCTCAAAGAAGTGAAATAGGAAAGATTATTCTTCCTTCAATTCTTCGTCATGAACAATATTTGTGTGCAGTCATATATGTATATTGGTTTACAAATAAATATACTTCATTTCCTGCTAGGGATTACTATTATCGGGATACGTTGAATAAAAACTCACCTTTTCATTTTGATAAGCGGTGACGGCAATGAACTCGGTTTCCTTGAAGACATAGGTTCGAAACGTTGAGTAGGGAAGTTTGAGAATATCATTCGCCCTCACCAAATGAAACCTTGGTTGGTATTTGTGCATTGAATTCAATATCGTCTGAAATTAAAAAAAAATATTGAGAATAGAATCAGAAAAATTTGTTGGAGTTCTATTTGATTGAAGAACAATAAAGAAATACACATCGAATACACCATTTTTCAACCTAGTGGGGTATTTGATAGGTGAAAAAGTTCATTCTTGATAAAGTTGAACAAATTATGTTCTATTTTTGAATATGAATCCATTACATTTATAGTAGTACATATTCGCTATGTGAACGGTGGTAGCCCTATGGCCAAACGATCGATTTTCACTGCATATCGTTCAGCCCGAGCTAGAAATCGCAAATTAAAAAGTAAGACCCCGTTAACCTTCGCTCGCACAAAATTCGTTTTGAAAAAGTTTCTTTTTCTAGGGGCGACAGCTGGTTGGAGAAGAAACAGAATTTAACAGATTTGTTTGTATTTACTTCATATTAGGAATAAAACAGTAACTTTATAAATTTCATACCAAAATAATATAGGTGAGAAGCATCATTTTTTAAATTTTTCACTATGATCTCCAACCATCACCATGGCTGAATCATTATTGTTATCTTCACAATGTGAATTGAAAGGAATCAAACCTAGGTTTTTCTAAAAAAAAAAATCATAACGAAATGCAAAAATATGTCGAAAATATATTATATTGTATTCAAAAAAGTAAAAACCTCCCGTTAAAGTGTGTTTTTTGAATACGTAACAAAATGCAATACTCCTGGACTGCTAATAATGATTATTGAGGAAGGAATACTTTTGACGGCATGTGAGAAAATATCAAGGTTTGAAATATATCTGGTTTTATGGTTGATGAAAAACAAATCTTTAACAATTATATGGTGAATAGAACACTATCGGCAACTGAACTGAACTTTTCGTACGTCCGTAATATTTTCTATTCTATTTTAAAAAACTTCATTGGATACTGGAGTTTATCTGCCGTATGAAATTGGTATTACTTTCATTAGATCAAGTTTTGAGATTTTGAATTTTCTGCATATTTCTGTTTCAATTGAAAAATCTCAATCGACCACTCCGCTCCTGTCAGGCTCTATCGACTGAGGTAATTGAAGAAGTGACGTAGATTTTTAACATATCTTCTCATTATGGTCAACCACCCAGATCAGATCAATTGCTTATTCATAAACCAAACGCGAGCAAAACAAAAACCCTTTACATATTTTTCAAATAACGAATGTGTACGTACGAGAACTGGTTTCTTACCAACTTACCATCGATAATGATTTGTTGCTAACATTATGAACATCTCTGTGTGGTCTAGAACCGCTAACTCTCTACTGATCGCACACGGTGTACCAACATTTAAATATAGCAGATACAAGGTTCAGATACAAGTTTCATTTTTGACTCAGGTTGTTGGTTGGTGGGTGCTGAATAAGCCATAAGCTGGTGGTGATTCATTTCTCATTTATGAATGAATATGAATGTTTCTGTGTAACCAATTTTAGGGGTCAGACGTGATTCATTTCTGAAATCTTAATGGAGGAATGTTTTTGTTTCAAAAGCAAACAATGTCATAGTAAAATGATGATGATGATGATTGTTTACTATAATCTAGCGCATATGCGGCGTTGAAACCCAATAAACAACGAAAGACCAGTACTATTTCACTAGACGGAGCTTCCTGTGCTAGGTGTATTATAAAAACTAGTAGGTTTACAAGTTGTTATTTATATGTTTCGAAACAATATAAAAGGATAATTTTATTTCAGAACCAAGCTATTCAACCACGTTTGTTTTCTCACAGAAAGTTTTTTCGAATCAACCATTTTGACTTTTTCAATGATTTATAGTCTGAAATTCGTTAAAATAGATTCATCACAGTAAATTCATCACAGATACAGGGTGTCCCTGGACTTCCTCTTTTCCTCTCGGGAATGTATAGATGGGGTCAAAATATCACCAGTACTTCATATAACTTTTTTTCCTAAAAGTCTTCGTAACCAAGTTACGGGCCCTCGAAGTTACAAAATGAAAAATGTTTTTCTTTGATAACTTTTCAAGTGAATATTCAAAATCATCCAAATTTTGGTAAT